CTTAGACATAAAGTTCACTTATACTTGCACTTGTGAGCCTTTAGATAATTGAACAACAAAATACATTAACTCAAAATCGCGGGTTACCCACGTGAATATATCGAGAAAAGCTCTACTAGTTTCGAAGCACAGAGACCTTCTTCCTCATGAGCAGCGTGCGCGGTCGCGGCGATGTGCGCATTTACGTGAGTAACCCGCGATCTTTAGTTAATGTATGTTGTTGTTCAATAAGTCGTATAAATGAAGTTAATTTAGTATGTCTCACGATAGTTATTATAAAAACAAAATACATACGACATAACGTCACGCTTTTTATCCCCGAAGGGGTAGGCAGAGGTGCACATTACGGCATTTAATACCAATGTAACACCCACGTTTCACTATTTATGTTACGAGTCCCTTGTAATAGAAGGTGAGCTTATTGCCATATACCGAACACAACTCCAGACTCCGTGCTATTACTGATATTTTTTAAAAACCTACTAATACTTTACGACCCGGGAATCGTCCCGAGACCCGTTGCCCAGCAGTCGCACTTGCGACCTATAGGCCAACGAGGCAATCAAACTTATTGAACAGTGGATGTAAAAATATTGATTTTAACTTCACAAACACGTTTAGTCTCCATATGAGCGCTCGCCCTTGACCGTATCTGCGGTTGTTGTGTTCCGAGTCACAACGTAACGCAACGTAACTGCACGTGTAATTACTGTTACGGTAGCATTACGAGCTGGCTATTGTGCGATTGAATGACAACGATTGGAGACGCCTAGGTTTAATAAATTGTGAACTGAAACGGATTGACGATTAACGATTGTAAAATTTTCTGATTATGTTCTTGTACATATACTGCTTTTTTATCTTTTTAAACGAATAACATAATATAACATCTCGCCTTTTATCCCCGAAGGGGTAGGCAAAGGCGCACATTACGGAACTTAATGTCACTGTACAATGTAACATCCACATTTCACTATTTATGTTATGAGTCCCATGTAATAGGGGAGAGCCTATTGCCATATACCGGGCACAATTCCAAACCTACGGATCGAACCCGAGACCCCTCGCCCAGCAGTCGCAGTTGCGACCTCTTAGCTATCGAGGCAAAACTGAACTGAACAAATACCAGAATATAATATTAGATTAGTATATTAAACTAATACAGTATAGGTTTTAAATCCGCATCTTCATACATGAAAAGCGGGCTTCTAAAACCTCCGGATGACCACGATATTTCTGTGTTTTACCCCACTGTGCCATTAGCGTTTTATAATCCTTAGTTCAGTTGTGCATTTTCTATCAGTTATTTAATTCCTTTGATACCAGAAAATCACCTTTTCCAGTTAATCTTGAACACTCCTGAGATTTTTTAAGAGATATTTCGATTCGATTTTTTTTAACAACTACAATTAAAGAATTAAGCAACGTGATGTTTCTCTACAAAGCAGAATTATAAATTAATTAAATTCAGAATTACTTAAGTAACTTATACTTAATGTTCTCCTAGTTACAAAGAAGTCTCGAGAACTTCCGAATAGCCATCCACTCACTGACCTTTTTTTTTTACCCCAAGGTGGGAAATCCTCATGGAGCCCTCTCGTCTGGGGAGGACGAAAGGGACTGTCAGACTCTTACTGACTAAAACCCACCCCGGTGTCCCGTCTCACACGTGGGTACGAGGGTGCGGGAGTCACATTCATCCGCAGCCCCCGAACTCGTGGCGGCCTGCCTTGCCAGGCCCCATCTCAAGATGCACGGAGAAGTGAGGTGTTGGTCTTCTCCGTGCAACGTCTCGGAGGCGCGCGTGGACACAACGCGCGCCACCGTCTCGGGTCCTTTACAACGGGATGACGGGGACTTCCCCAAGTCCACCGTCCCCGGACCCATTTAGGGGGGTCGAAAGAGAGCGATTTCTGCTCTCCTTCGACGCCCGGTACGCCTACTGCGGGAAGGTAGAGAAATTGCAATTTCCCTTTCCCTTTCCCTCTCCGCATCCACTCACTGACCTACCACAGACAGATGTAGCTTAACCTTCAGTGTGGTCTGCCCAGCTATAACTTAGCCACGAGCACCTCATACCAATGTAGTTAATTGCTAATATTTGTATTCTCAACACATTGCATTAAAGCACAATAAAGCTTGGCTAGACTTTGTAACTGTTCTAAAAATATATTTACATGATTCTAGAATTATTATAATCTACTATTAATAGCAAAGTCACAAAAAACAAACATCATGCAGGCCTGATTGGTATACAGAAAGCTTGGCAGAGCTTTTCGCTTAAGGTTACACAGTAGGATTTTCTCCTGTGTCGTGGGTGCGTCATGACATTCAGACCTGGAATAACAATCTGTAGACCACACAAAGAGTGCGGGAATCGAAACCGCGACGCGTTGCACGGCAGCCCAGCAGTTACCCAACCACCGCGCCAACCATTAAGTAGTCAAAAGTTATTAATAATTATAATTAGTACCAAACAGAGGAGACATTTCGTTAATTATAATGACAGTCCGCACTAATACAGATCTTTAATTAAAACCTGTTATAATCTGACCAATCGAGAGCATACCTTATGAAAACTCCGTTGGGACGTGAAAGAAAGAAAGACAGGCAACCATCCTTTCACAATCATAATATTAATTTTATTTGTTCATTAGGCAAAACGTCATTCATAGACATGGTACACATACGAAGGTCCAGCCCTAAAATTATATATGTGAAAGTTTATATATTTGAATGTTTTTCCGTAAATCACACTGAAATTATAGAATTGATTTCAATGAATTTGGTATGGGCTGACTTAGGTGATAAGATACATTTTATCATGAATTATATCCTACGCGGACGCAATCGTATCTAATAAATGAACTTATATCTTAGTACACTCAACTTAATCTCTGTGTGAGGTACCTACTTTTAATTTAGTATACAATTACATCGCTGTCAGTTGTAGTTGCACGTAACTAGCAGTTGCAGTCGTTACGACTAGTTGCACAACCGTCGGAGGCTGCATTTCGTAGGTATGTCAGATGACACGAATTGCTGCGCCAATGTTGAGGTAAAGACAGAAGGTCCACTTTAATAATAACGTTTGTAGATTGCTTCGTCAATTTTGTGAACACAAGAATATTAGTTTAAATAGGCTATAATTAGTAGAAGTGCACTTAAACACACATAGACATAATAATTTTAACATTAATTTTTTTTAAGTCACTGTCAAAATCAATTAAGATAGCCATGCTTCGGCACGAATGGGCCGGCTCGACCGGAGTGATACCACTACCTCACACAAAACCGACGTGACGCAACGCTTGCGTTGTGTTTCGTCGTGTGAGTGAGGTTACCGTAGGCCCAATTATCCTCTCCCCTGCCCCAATCTCCGTAATCGCTGAATCCTCAACGATCCTCAAACTCCTAATCCCCAAAAGGCCGGTAACGCACTTGTAACGCCTCTGGTGTTCCAGGTGCCCATGGGCGGCGCCGATTGCTTACCATCAGGTGGTTTTTCCGCTTGTTCTCCGGTTTTTGCCATAAAAGTATTTCAATTAGATAAGTCAGGGAGGCATTTATGAACTTCAACAAAAAATAAAAGTAAAGCTGTTTGCCCATTCGTAGATTCCTTTGAAAAAGATCGAGCCAGAAACTGCATGCCAACATTAGGAATACAATTAGCTTCTCAAAATAGATCGGCATTGTCCAATGTTAGCTCCTTAAAAGATAACCAATGCAATCAACATGGAACACAATGCCTTTTGAATTACATACATGAGTACCTATATGCATGCATGCAAGTATCAATTGGTAACTTCGTGTGATTGATATTAAGTGCACACACAGTTCTAGGATGCAATTTCTTGGATGGGTGATTTGCAATATTGTAATGCTCTATAGTAAAACACATGCCCCAGGCCCCTGTTATATCGAGTAGGAAGGGGGTGGTTTTTAGTCAGTAAGAGTCTGACACTCCCTCCCGCCTCACCCGGGCGGAAGAAGTCATTGGATGATTTTCCCACCTCAAAAAAAAAAAAAAAACAAAAAAAGGCCCCTGTTATATAAAATAACTGGTAAAAAATAGATGTTACATTTAAAATGACAAATTGAAAACATAACAAATCTTCGAACGTCTCCCTAAACAAATTTTAACGAACAAAATTAATCTTAGATTCTATCTCCATCAACATTCTGTTACAAATTTTTAAAAATCAAACTGATGACACAATCATACGAGAAAATTCCACAATTTCTTTCACATTCACGAACGTATGAAATTTACCTTGACCGACAACAGTTTACAGCTTTAGTTTAAAAGACTGGTCTAACTGGTATTTCTGTCGATTGCCTGTTTATTGTCACATCTGCAAGCCATACATTCAGTACAAGGTCAGCAGTGGTCGGTAGTTGGCAAACAATACGCCGCCCGCCGGAATTATTCCATAATTGTTGGCTAATATTTACGAATAAATAAATATTTGTTTGGTTTTTGTTATAATTATGATTAACTTAATATTTATCAATGTAAAGCTGAAGTGTTAGATGGTAAACTTCTTGAGCTCGATAGGTTTTAAGCTACAGTTGGAATTCATATTTTTCTCTTTCTAATTCGTTATTAAGTTTTAACCTTTCATGTGTCTAAGACGTGGATCCTCGCGAGACACAATGTAGGTATTTTCTATTGTGTCTCAAATGCACCGATGCATTTAAAAAGATAATTAAAAGAATGTAGGTTGTTATCTAACATGGAATGAATTTAATGACTGAAACATGCAAATGCTTAGTTGATAAATGTTATAAATATTTTTTATTACCTGATGGTAAGCAATCAGCGTCGCCCATGGACACCTGGAACACTAGAGCCGTTACAAGTGCGTTACCGGCCTTTTGGGGATTAGGAGTTTGAGGATCGTTGGGGATTCAGGAATTGGAGAGATTGGGGAAGGGAAGGGTAATTGGGTAGATCTTGATATTATTATGAGTTTAACCTAATGTTTGTATTGTTACAGCGGAAGATTTCACAAGATGTCGGCAGAAGGACTCCAAACTAAACGAGTGCCTCAAAATGGCCGTCCCTGACGCGCTCCGGAGAATGAAGAAAGGTAAGATAAATGAAAATAGTAATTCTGAAAGTCATAGATGTAGTTCATAGTGTTTCTTGTTGCGCCTATCTTCAAATATAATACTTCTTTTTGTCTTCAAAATACATTACTACATAATTAAATATTATTTGCGAATATATAAGGCGAGATAGAGGTCAAACGTAGGCCCATCAACTAAAAAAAGGTATCAAACTTTTCACCAATAGTTTCCTCCTAGATGATAAACAATTAGGTACGATTCGACCTAAAACATACCACAAATTGGTTACAAAAATTCTGAATCCTACTAATATTATAAATGCGAAAGTTTATTTGTTTGTTTGTTTGTTATTTCTTCACATTAAAGCGGCTGAAGGGATATAACAGTGGTAGATTATGCTCTGATATAAGTGATACACATGAATTTATTTCTGCAAATAGGCTACAACGTACTTTTACACGTCAATTTTATCAAGCGAACGATGAGGCCGACATTTCCCAACTGACTACTCTGAGAAGAATTGTCGACACAAACTCAGAGGTCTGTGTCTATTAAAGTCCAGACAATATATATATGTAAGATTATGTGTGAGAACCGTGCTAGTTTATTCTGTAGTGGTCTTTTGAGGAAAGAACCACAACAGCTTGAGCGCGACCCGGGCAGCAGTACGTATGTGTAGGTTTACAATCAGCTCAATCAATGACTGATCCGACGAATAATACCAACCTAAAGAACGTTTGGGTAGGTGGCAAAACAACCTGGTAGGAATAACACATAGGCTTCTTGTATCCCACAGGAATGCTGGCAGAAGCTAGTAGATGATATATTCTTTTAATATTCAATTTGCACAATAACATCTCCAATAAACTTCCTACTTCCACGGAACTAGATAAAAACATAATACTATTTAATAATCTGCTTAAGTAATACACGCAATGTTTCCGAAACAATTGACGAGCGATGTTACGTATCGATGATTTAACAACAAATAATTTAACCATTCGTGAGCGACGCACGTGCATCTACAATTACAAGAACCTTTAGTTTCCGCATTTTTTTATTTGGTCATGTTGTGCCAATTTGCAAATTTCTTTGTTAGATAAGTATTGATAATCTACTAGCGTTTACCCGCGGCTTCGCTCGCGTCACAAAAGGATAAAAAGTAGCCTATGTGACTTATACCAATACACACAGCGCCATCTTTACCAATTATTTCGTTTTCCCTCGAGAATATTTATTTTTATTTTATTTATTTATTTAAGTTTTATACAATACAATTGCATAAGGAGGACTTAATGCTAACAGCATTCTCTGCCAGTCATCCTTTGGGTAGTGCAGAAATGTATGTGGTAGGTGGTAAGCTGCAAAAATGTTAGTGGTAATTATCAAAATTAATAAGGAGCATCAAAGCACACATAAAATACGTATATAATAATATATATAATCATACATATATATATAGATAGATATAAATAACATCATACATAATATAATCTATCTATGAGCCGTATATGAATTTATCCTATATTAAAACAAGATGAAAACTAATAAAAGATGTTATGAAACTGCCAGCTTTCTGCTAATGTACTCAAGCACCCTCCGCTTGAAACTCAAACGTTATCGTACGAATATCAATTTTTTTCCGGGATAAAAAGTACCCTATTATTTAACCCAGACTTCTAACTGCAAAAATTCAAAGCCGATTGCTTTGAATTTTAGTAGTTACGGCGTGAAAGCGGAACAAACAAACAAACAAACTCACTTTCCGATTTATAATATTAGTAAGGATGTTTTATTGATGCAACTGAGAATCTCTGATGTCCAACCCACAGCTTTATTTTTCAGTCATTTATACGAAGTTTTTTTTCTGGAAACTATATGGCTCAATTTGAATACAATTTTCGACATGGTCCGCAACACAGATGCTACCACATCTCTAGTATTGCAGCGCTTTGAGATCACAGTTTAAATGGTCTTTGCCCCTTAATCAGCTATCACATCATCCGCGAGAAAAGTAGGAATGATGACGAATATAATTTCAATTTTTCTGTCACCACAAACAAGCAAGTAACAACTCACACAAAGAACCCACTTAGTTTTTAGTCCGTGGTGCTTGGCGACTGAGCTTCTCCCAATTGTGCAGTTACTTTTTGTGCCTTTAGGCTTAAATCATTCAGTCTCCTGCTATAATTTACCGAGAGAAGTGGAAACTATCATTATCTTTCGTCTTACAGTTAATATCTTCTAATTTATTTCGTTGGAACCAAGACAATTATTCATGTCCCTGGAACACTATTTGACTGACTTCAGTGTTCTGGTGTTTTGATAATCGTATCTACTGTAGATACTGGCTTGCAGGAGTTGCAGCGGTTTTGACAGGTTGTGGCGGGCTTGTCAAGACAAACAATTTTCTATATCTACATAATCTACCCTATATTTCCAGGTATCCCATCTCTATCAGTGCCACAGATGGAGCCGCTGCACGTGAACAGCATCAACGTGGACTCCGGCTCGGGGCCCGTCGTCATCACACAGATGTACAGGAACATCAAACTACATGGTTTTACTGATACTGTGCTGACGTTGTACAAGTAAGTCATTTAATTGTAATAAAATAATAATACTCATCTACATCATTTATAGTTTTTTGCGCCATTATGAATTTATTAAGATGTTAGTTCCGAAGCTGAAAACTATCGTTGAGAAAAAAAATAGAAGAAATCGACAAACTAAAAGGTCATTCCTACTAACATAATTAAATTAGTAGATACAACTCAATATTACGTATGCTATTTTCAATTTTTCAGGGCTGATCTCAAAAACTACAGACTGAGAACTGACTCCATCACTCCTAAGATGGAGTTCATAGCTGACTACATCATGAGAGGCAGGATCCTACTGCTGCCCATCCAAGGAAAAGGTGTCGCGAACATTACAATGGGTAAGCAACGCCATCTAGTAACGAGTAGTAGAACTACAGGATACCGCCCTCTGGTCACTAGTGTTGACAGTAATTTTAAAGTTTAAAAGATGTAATATATTATTTTGAACGGTTAAATAGGAATTAATTAATGTAATTTAGCTTCTCAAAAGTATTCCTTTAGCCTTGATCCCTTACTCTTAGGCTAACAAGTTTAAGAATATGTATAACTTTTACATGACATGTCTTGTACTTTAGGTACCTGCGTCTTTGGCTATTCTCAGTTATGTATGTTATTATTAAAAAATATCTATAAGTTTTTTATTGACAGTTTATTTACAGCTTAGTAGGTACCTAATAATGGTACTATTAGTTTCTTATCGAAGGGTCGAATCAGATCCACGATACGTGCAAGTTAGCAACCAACCTCTGCTTCTATCAACCAACAAATTTTACTTCTTCCAAAACCCATGTTTACAGTGAACCTGGTGGTGAAACACGATCTGATTGGCGAGCCAGTTGTCAAGGATGGACAGACATACATGCACATCAAGGAATACAGAGTCAAGTTCATCCCACAGAAGGTCGTGCTGTACTTTTCCAACCTCTTCAACGGAGACAAGGTGCTCGGTGATAATATGAACGAGTGAGTATCAGCATAAGATTATTTAGATTCTACTGACAAACGGCGAAGGAACCTGGGCTTTTTATAACTTATGTAGCAAGTATAGATTATTGTTCAAACCTTTGACTTGTTTTTGTTGTTCAAATTTATTGTTTAAACCGGTGACTTTATATCAGGTGGTCTGTCTACTCATTTACCGACTTAATTCATAAAAAAAACTTAACATATCATAACTGGTGAAAATTGAATATCCCATTGTAAATGTATACCTTGGTCCTTCAGGGAAGGGGTGTAACCTAGGTTATTTTCGAAGAGGTAGACAGAGGTGCGCAATACGGCACGTAATGCCACTGTACAATGTAACACTCACTTTTCACTATTTATGTTATGAGGCCCATATAATAGGGGGTGAGCCTATTGCCATATACCGGGCACAATTCCATACTCCGTGCTACTACTAAATTAAAATAAAACCCAGTTGTGCTTTGCCCGACCCGGGAATCAAACCCGAGACTCCTTACCCGGCAGTTGCACTTGCAACTACTCGGCCAACGAGGCAGTTAAATCTTGTTTAATGTCCCATATTAGTGCTAATGCAAAATACTAAAATATATCTATTTCTACATTTCAGATTCCTGAACTCAAACTCGGACCTAGTCTTCAATGAACTGAAGGAATCCTATGAAAAGTCACTCAGTTCTGTATTCCAGAATGTCACCAATGAGATATTCGACAGGGTGCCAATGAACAAAATATTCCTTGAAGATTAGTCTGTAAGAGTGGCAAGACTTAGGGCCGAGATTGATAACTGATCGCTTTTCAAAACCTTCTAACTAAAACACACCTAATACCTAATAAGCACGACTCCGGCATAGTTCCAGCACGTTGTTTTTTACGTTAGAAACAATAAAAAAAGGTTACAACTTTTTAATATTAACGTTATGAAATATGTCCTACGACATACGATTTAAAATTCATATTTAAATAACAAGTTAATTGAGCTGTGCCGGAGGCGTGCCTATTACCTGATGATCACTAACTTTTGACATAATTTATGTTTTATAGAACTTCTGACAAGAATAATAAATACAGATTGATCTAGAGAGTTTTGGTTATGACCGGCGATTGTTTGAGCCCATTCATAATTGCTATCTGCAATAATTAGTTTAAATATCATTTCATAAGCGAGGGACACAAATAATACACTTCACATTGGTATCTGTTATATTTATTGAAGCTGCTTTAATTAGACTTCGTTAGTATAAGTGTAAAATAGTTATAAATTAGTTATAAGAGTAAGTAGGTAAATTTAATTATAAAAAACTATGTATAAGTAAAAATAATTTTATAAAAATATGCCATGTTTTACTTGACGTCAGTCCCAGTATTTTTCATTAAATTTATTCGAGCTTGTTGGAACATTAGTATTATCAAATCTTCTTGTGGCCAGAAATATATCGGTCTTTGAGATATGCGCCATCTACGACGTTTTAGTGGAAACGTTGATGATGCGAGGTTTTTATTGGTTGGTGTATGATGGGTTCCCTGCCTATTTTGGAAGGTTGGCGCTCGTTCAGTTCCACATCTTGCATCTCTCTCTCCATCTGTACAATTTGCGCGTTCTTCATACAACGCGCCTTGCAGAAGGCTTCGTTTATAATAATCACTGAAAAAATGTCTAGTTTAGTTACTTGACGATAGATGGCAGGCTCCTCAATAATTAATTACTTAGCATGTTAGCTTATTTGCTAGTCCAAAATATTACTATACTTTCCAAAATATGCATACTTTCTTTATGTAACTGTAAATTATTAGATAATATTATAATCCTACTAACATATCCCGACCAAGAGCAGATATATTATAAGTCCAAGAATAAGAGCATCGTACTCCATTTTTATAAAATCTGGAAAGAAATAAATTTCACTGTATTCAATTGGAAACAAGCGACAATTTACTGCGATAGAAATATGTTAATATTGAATAGGTCAGGCAAACTATTTAGTATGCACATAAGAAAACAATCGGTTAATAAAGATTAATTCAGACCAGAGACTTTAAAACAACACAACTTGTAAGTACAACAAAAGCTGATCTCTATATACTTAAATCACTCTCTCTTTTCCCCTTTCGTCTCTCTCTTTCTCTGATCTGTATATTCTTACCTGCATACTAAATAATCTAACTGATTGAAGTATATACTCTTAATAGAGCTCATAATATCCAATCGTATGAAAAACAACATAAGATCACGCCTGTTATCCCCGAAGGGGGTAGGTTAGAGGTGGACCTTACGGCTCATAATGCCACTGTACAATGTATCACCCACTTTTCACTATTTATGTTGTGAGTCCCATGTAATAGGGGGTGAGCCTATTGCCATATACCGGGCGCAATTCCAGACTCCGTGGTACTACTGAGACTAAGATTTTTTTTAAAAAACCTTGCGCCCAATCGACCAGCAAGGCAATCGTTTGAATTACTAGTACATATTAAATAAAAGTGCTACTATTTTTAAAATCTTACCAGCAACCTCGGTTGAGAGTGGGTCTAGGTCTTGTAACGTGGAGCAGCTCCCAAAGAGAGATAAAGAACGCAAATATTATTATCAAAAAACAAATTGTTTCCCAGAAATGCGCTAGTATGTATAATGAGAGGGAACTGCCTTCCTGGCTCATTCTTAATCTGCACTATTGGAGCTGAAAGACAAAATGAAGCTTAAAATTAAGGGCATACAGTTGATTTGTAATTGAATTGAAGACGTAACTTTTGAAAGACCAGATAAGATAAATCTGTAGGTAATATCCAATATATACTGGAGCTATGGGTTCCTTCCTATATAACGATTTCTTTACGGAGATCTAGCTATCTGTCTGCATGGTTACAATTTTTTATGAGTTGCCCTTCTCAGTGGGATGACTTTATTATATTTCCCTTCATCTCTTCGGTGTAAAGGCTATGATATATTTCTTGCAAGCGTGAACTAAGATACCAGGCCATCCTAGCAAAAGCTAAATAACACATAGATGTGTTAAAAGCTAAATAACACATAGATGTGTTATTTAGCTTTAGCGATAGATCGCTCAAACTAAGAAGTACCTAATTCAGCCAAGAAGACTAATGAGAACAGCCTTAAATAAAGAATACTTTCCAAATCAATAATTCATATCCTCACGTGTCTCGGCAAAGACTATGGAACACCAATTGCTACGATTGTCAATGTAACGTCTTATTTCTATGATCGCCTCATTGTTAATAAACCAACTCGCTCCTTGCTCTTTCTAAACATCCTACAGACTCCGACGTCAACTAGTTCTCAAACATGGGATGTAGGACTTACATGCACCCTCTGCCCCGTCTGGTGACCCTGAGCAGTTCCCGCAGTGACAGGAATGCGGCAAACAATACTATGAGGAAGAACACTGTTTGCCAACAATGGACCATAAGAATGGCAGATGTGAACATGGGAATCATCTGGACTATTTATAGAATCATCTGGTCACGATGGATTTCGACTGACGCCTTTGGCCCTGAGCTGACGGCTGAACTGACGGGATGAGGTGACAGACGTCCGTCAGTTGGCAGATTATTTTTCCTTCTTTAAATGTGGTGATAATTATAGGTGCCTAAGTCTAAACATAGGTTATACTTCTATACTGTTTACCTCTTTCCAGTTTATGTAAATAGAATGAGTGCACCGTCTTTTTTCTCACCAGATGGCGCTGAAGTACGTAAAAATTTGTTTGGTTAATTACTGTAGCTGCGTTATAACAATACGCCTATTATTCTCGAAGAGGTAAGCACTGTACCTACTATGTAACACCAACTTTTCACTATTTATGTTATGAGTCCCATGTAATTGGTGGTGAGCTTATTGCCATATATATAGCACAATTGTAGATTCCGTGTGCTAAAAGCGACAATTTTTTTTAAATTTAGGCAGGCAAATTATTAATTTGCCCGACCCGGGAATCGAACCCGAGACCGGCAGTCGCACTTGCGATCACTCGACCAACGACGCAATCTATGCAGAGAACTATGGCTGCAGCAGTTGTAAAAATTGAACATCCAATGATTTATGGTAAGCAAACTTCTAATGGCGGTGTCATACTTATGCATCATAGTAGACTCATTGTTAGAACGGGTACAGGCAATGTAACATTTCCCTATGTAGAACGCAAGTTGGAGTTTAAAAAGGGAGTTTGTTAAATAAATAAAAAAAAATGTAAGATAAACTTATTGTTTATTCCGTGAATAATAACAGATTTCTATGGCATAGTCACTGGTAACGTTACGTCGAAGAAATTATGTATACTAACGAAAATCTTAGCCTCTACCCTCTAACAAATTTATACATTCATAAAAAAATAAACATCAAAAAAAATTTGAAGCCCATGTTTGCAATTTTTTGATGTTTTTTTTTTATGATAGTATAAAAATGTCTGCAAATAATTTGTATATTTTAATGGATTTTCTTCCTTGATATAATTGTAATTAGATAATATTTATTATGTTTATATAAACTACTAATTTAAAACGTCCATTTTGAGTCATCTGTTTACTAAATCACTTTTAATTCAAATAAAAGTTTCATAATTAAAAAGATTGACGTATAAAATAAAACCAAAAAAAATATTAGAAACATATTTATTTTTCGAAGTAAACAGATGACATTTTTATTGAAGGTTTGAGCGTTATAATCAGCTTGTAGGTTTTATAATTATAATTATAAATTATAAACTTATTATTACAGCACAGTATATGTAAAAACATTGTATAATTTGCGACAAAAGTGATCTGTTGCGTGTAACCTTGACATTTAACTTAAGCATAGCTTTATAACATAGAACTGACATTTGTGACATCTTAATAAGGGTCTGACACAAGACCTTATGATAGAAATCTTATAATCTTACTTATAATTACTTCAATCATTAATTTAATTAATATTAAATTATCTATGACAACGATGGAAGTAATATTTTTTTATTATTTTAGCCACAATTTTTAGTTCTTAATAGATGGTAAATATATATAAATTGTGGTCTAAATATCGATGCCAATTTACAGCTATGCCTTTACTACACTGAAACGGACGGTTGTATGGCAACTAGTGACATCTAGTAGTGCTATCCGTAAAGATTGGTGCAAAAATATCTCTTTTTTTTTTCAAGTATACTATAATGAGGTATGAAGATGGATGTTCTTGTCGTATTTTTTATTGGTATTTTTTTGTCATATTACCTTTATTTTTTTATATAAAACTCTACATGTTTAGCTATTTTTTTTTTGTTAACAAAACGCTACTGATTGTATAAGCTCTACCCCTCACAACCTATAAAAAATGAGATTACTTTTGAACAAAAATTGCTGTATATCCCGGCTTTACGAAATATTGGAATGATATTTTCGTTAAATGCATAATTTTTAATTTCGAATTATATTTATTAATTATAAATTTTCATTTGTTTCATTAGTAGGTATGTATAAGTTACCGGGTTTACAAAAAAAAAAGTAAAATCTAAATCTTAAAAATTACTTACTTAAGAACTAAAACTTGTCATTTTGTAAAATAAAACGTACTTGAGTACTATTCTAATTATTTCTATTAATAATTTCCTTTTTTTATTATTATTAATAGCAATTTTTAGAAGAGTGTGATAAACGATTGTGCCAATGTTTACCATTAATAAACCCAATTATTATTATTATATATGATTATTATTATCAATCTAATGTTTTCTATATATTGATTATAGGGAAACTTTGATCCAAACTGTGAAAAAAATATATATGTAGACCAAGTTTTGCTACTACTTAACTAACTTAAGGCTAAACATTGTAAATCGCTTGTGATCGCAATTAGCCAAAATAATTAAATTAACAATAACTAAACAACAAAAGCTAACATTTTATTGCTTAGCACCATGTTTAACCGACTTTTAATAAAATTAGAGTGCTGTATTTCACATTTTCGAAGACAGTTCAGGCCATTGTAATAAATCCACGAATTTTTTTATCGCCGATCTTTGCATATACTATAAATATCTCGCAACACTATTCCTTAAAAGTCGGTTCACAAGCAAATTGATGGAAAATCTGATAAATTCAAAATGGCTGATGTTAGGGACCATTTAATTTGTTAAAACTTGTTAGTACGAATTTTCTAATCGACAATTAGTACTAAACTACAGTTACAATTCTATAATCGTCATTATAAGGATTACACCCATTTAACTAAGGATCTAGCTAACGCGTGGTGTAATCCACGTTTTGGACAAATTGACTGCTAGTCAGTAAGTCGAAGCCGTGTGGAAGCCAGCTCGTACGATACCAGTCTAGCCTAGTCTAACACAATCTTCTACAACCTAAAGTTGTAAGCAACTCTGTCAGACTATCTAGGTAGCTCGAGACCGGCTGCAATGTCTAATCCATTTTATAATCTTACCCCTTATCGCTACATATACAAAGATATGCGATACTAAAATCCATACATTCCCCCGTCACAAAATATCACACTCGAAGCCATTTCGGCGCCTTTCTTCACGAACCAACAATTTGTTTTGACCTATCTGCACAAACTAAACACTAGCATAAATAGTTCAATTGTCACTGGTTAGTGTGTCCACACTATCTCCTGATTCCTGTCATTGGAATTGTGACGTGGATGTAGACCTTCTGCAGCCAATGGAGACTGGCGCCGGTATCCTAGACGCTCCATTCCTTTGGTCTTTCCTAGGAGCAGCCAACTGCCTAGTGCTAGTTGACCTTTCTAATTTGCCATCAGACATTACCCAGGCTGATGTAAAGTCCGCATAGTCTGAGTCCTTGGAACTAGTTCTAGAAAGAGAGTCGTCTCCCTTTGAATATGTCCTAATAATTTCCTTCATTTTTTCTAGAACTGTTGCGTCATCCTTCGCGCTCTCTGTTGACCTTAAGATCTGTTCTAATAAAGGACTCAATGGTTTTTGATTCGGTGGGGACCTAAGAGTAGCACTGCTGGCTCTGAGAGGAGAGTTCCTCTTGAAAGCCTCAGTTTGAGGAGCTTTGGCCCTCATTTTTGGAGATTTATTCGGATTATCAAAAGTGTCGGCCCCTATTGTTGGCCTCGACTTTACTTTAGCCTGCACGGGTGCTGTGCGTCCGCTCCAAGTATTTCTGGCAGTTGGCGGCAATTTTGGTGTCAGCTTAGGGGATGTCTGCACTGGGTTTGCGGTATGTTTTGGGCTGGGTGTATTTCCTCGGCTGGGAGTTCGGTTCCTAACTGGAGAGTGTGGTATCCGACTGGCCTGTCGGCTTCTAATCGTCTTTGTGGGTGACTGAGAAGCTTCCCGAGTGACCCGGAGGCTCTTGCTGGGAGAATCGTTGTTTTCAGTGACGACTGCGCGATCGGGACTGCTTCTATTCGACTTTTCTTCTATAGAGCTGGGCTTCCTGCCTCCGTAGAAGGTGTCTGAGAAGTCAGTCTTACGAAGACCAGTGTTGAGGCTCACGTGGTCGTCCACTCGTTCGTTCTTGTCCATGTGACAGCCATCGTCTTGGTCGAGACGCTCTGGAAATAGAGAGAATAATATTTGAGAAATTGGAACAATATTATTTTGATAGGAGGCAGCGACTTGAGTAAATTCAATAAGGCTTACAGTTTAATCAATGTTCTTTATCAAATTAAACATATTTGTGCCATACTGGTAAAAATTTACAATGCAAACATTAACCCATAATTGTCAACAGCCATTTAGCGATCGTAACTGGATCTAGACCAGATTATAGCCGTCATACCTTTTAGAAAAATATTATGACACCTAGTTAATGGGTGGTATTTATTCAACTGTATAATTAAAGGTAACGAGACGGACATTCTCATTCATAGCCCTTTGGGCGATAAAAACAGCGTCTAATTTACAATGACCATGTTTAGAAGATAATAACAGTTAGATTAAGTTAATAATTCTGCCCATACTCGGCTGTATCCGTTACCGTTTATGGTCAAGCGCGGTCGTGCCGAGGACTTCCCTCTTCCGCGAAACTTTGTCGACTTACATTTTATTTTATAACAATTTTCTAGAAAACAGAGACTACAATCGCACCGTAGCAAATATTATCAAGATCCATACAGTAGTTTTAGCATGATGTCTGTTTAAGCATACAGAGAAAGGCATACACGTGGTACTTACAATCTTATTACAAGTATTGTAATTACATTAGAAAACATATTGCCAACTAAAATAAATATTATCTCCTAAAGATTAGAATTCCCGAAGTACAAAAACAAAATCAACAATAAAGAAAGAAAATATACGACATCAGATAAACTTTATATAAAACAATAGGCAATCGACATACTTGCTTTAAAAACTTCAATACCGTTTATCTTTTCGCTCATTTTCACTTGGTCACGTGTAACCAATGCGTCTGATAGGAAACCAAACAGGTGTTTACGTACGTGACTCGGACGGAAAGAAAGAAATGCCTGTGATATCTACAAGAATATTCTTAAAAGAAAATAATAATTGTAATATTTGTTGTTGTGACTGCCACGTTA